CTAGGTTTGTCATAGCTTTCCTGCCAGGAAGCAATCATTTTCTGATTTCATGGCTGCAGTCACCATCTGCAGTGATTTTAGAGCCCAAGAAGAGGAAATCTGTCACTGCTTCCAGCTTTTCCCCTTCTATTTGCCATGAAGTGATGGGGCTGGATGCCATGATCTTAGTTTTTTTAATGTTTATTTTTAGGCCAGCTTTTCCACTCTTCTCCTTCACCTTCATCAAGAGATTCTTTAGTTTCTGTTTGCTTTCTGCCATTAAAGTGGTATCATCTGCTTATCTGAGGTTGTTGATGTTTCTCCCGCCTATCTTGATTCCAGCTTATACCTCACCCAGCCCAGCATTTCTCATGATGTGCTCAGCATATAGATTAAAAAAACAGGGTGACATCAGACAACCCTGTGGTACTCCTTTCTCAATCCTGAACCAGGCAGTTGTTCCATACAGGGTTCTAACTGTTGCTTTTTGACCCATATACAGGTTTCTCAGGAGACAGCTAAGATGGTATGGTATTTCCATCTCTTTAAGAGCTTTCCACAGTTTATTATGATCCACAAAGTCAAAGGCTCTAGTGTAGTTGATGAAACAGAGGTAGATGTTTTTCTGGAATTCCCTTGCTTTCTCTATGATCCAGTGAAAACTGGCAATTTGATCTCTGGTTCCTGTGCCTTTTTAAAAACTCATTCTGTACATCTTAAAGTACTTGATTCGCATAATGCTGAAGACTAGCATGCAAGTTCTTAGGCACGACCTTACTAGCATGGGTTCAGTTCAGTTCAGTCTCTCAGTCGTGTCTGACTCTTTGCGACCCCAACTAGCATGGGAAATGAATGCAATTGTCTAATGCTCAGTGCATTCTTTAGTACTACCCTTCTTGGGAATTGGGATGAGGATTGACATTTTCCAGTCCTGTGGCCACTACTGGGTCTTCCAGATTTGCTGACATATTGAGTGCAACATTTTGATAGCATCATCTTTTAGGGTTATTCAGATCCTGTGCCCAATTTTAAATTGGGTTTGTTTTTTTGATGTTGAGTTGTATGAGTTGTTTGTAAGTCTTAGATATTAACCCCTTATCAGATATGTGGTGGGTTAGTTGCTAAATTGTGTCTGATTCTGGCAATCCCACCGGACTGCAGCCCACCAGAGTCCTCTGTTCATGGGATTTTCCAGGCAAGAATACTGGAATGGGTTGACATTTCCTTCTCCAGGGGATCTTCCTGACCCCGGAATTGAACCTGGGTCTCCTGCATTGCGGGCAGATTCTTTACCAACTGAGCCACCATATATCACTTGCAAATATCTTCTCCCATTCAGTAGGTTGCCTTGTTTTGTTGATAATTTTGTTCATTATGTAAGTTTTTAGTTTATGTAGTCCCATTTGTTTACTGTTGCTTTTGTTTCTGTTTCCTGAGGAGACATATCAGAAAATACTAATAAGACCAGTTTCAAAGAGCACACGGCCTATCTTTTCTTCTACAAGTTTTATGGTTTCAGGTCTTACATTTAAGTCTGTATCCATTTTGAACTTATTTTTTTGCATGGCATGAGAGTTAACTGGTTTGATTCTTTGGCTTGTAACTGTCTAGTTTTCCCAAAACAATTTTTCAGAAAAGTTGACTTATCCGCATTGTATATTCTCATAGATTAATTTCCCAAGTAAGTGTAGGTTAACTCCTGGGCTCTCTATTCTCTCCTATAGATCTATGTGTTTGTTTAGGTGCCAGTACCATGCTATTTTAATTACTGTAGCTTTGTAGTATAGTCTAAAGTCAGGAAGTATGATACTTCCAATTTTGTTGTTCTTTCTAAAGATTGTTTTGGTTGCTTGGAGTCTTTATGTTTCCATACAAATTTTAGAATTTTTTGTTCTAGTTCTGTGAAAAATGCCATTGGTTATTTTGATAAGGATTGCATTGAATCCGTCGATTGCCCTGGTAGAATGGTCATTTTAACAATATTAATTCTTCCAGTCCATTCACATAGTATATCTATCCATTTATTTGTGTTGGTCTCTGGTTTCTTTTATCAGTGTCTTACAGTTTTCTGAGTACAAGTATTTTACCTCCTTAGTTAAATTTATTCCTAGGTTTTTAATTTATTTTTTGATGTAATTGTAAATGAGATTGTTTTCTCTTTCTGACAGCTTATTAGTTAGTTTGATAGCTCCTGTTAGTGTACAGAAATGCAGCAGATTTCTATATATTAATTATGTTTTTGCAACTTTACTGATTTCATTGATAAGGTGTTTTGGGTGATGTCTTTAGGATTTGGGGGCTTCCCTGATAGCTCAATTGGTAAAGAATCTGCCTGAAATGCAGGAGATCCCAGTTCATTTCCTGGGTTGGGAAGATCCTCTGGAGAAGGGAAAGGCTACCCACTCCAGTATTCTGGCCTGGATATGCTATTTTAATTACTGTAGCTTTGTAGTATAGTCTAAAGTCAGGAAGTATGATACTTCCAATTTTGTTGTTCTTTCTAAAGATTGTTTTGGTTACTTGAGGTCTTTATGTTTCCATACAAATTTTAGAATTTTTTGTTCTAGTTCTGTGAAAAATGCCATTGGTTATTTTGATAAGGATTGCATTGAATCCATAGATTGCCCTGGTAGAATGGTCATTTTAACAATATTAATTCTTCCAGTCCATTCACATAGTATATCTATCCATCTATTTGTGTTGGTCTCCAGTTTCTTTTATCAGTATCTTACAGTTTTCTGAGTACAAGTATTTTACCTCCTTAGTTAAATTTATTCCTAGGTTTTTAATTTTATTTTTTGATGTAATTGTAAATGAGATTGTTTTCTCTTTCTGACAGCTTATTAGTTAGTTTGATAGCTCCTGTTAGTGTACAGAAGTGCAGCAGATTTCTATATATTAATTATGTTTTTGCAACTTTACTGATTTCATTGATGAGATGTTTTTGGTGATGTCTTTAGGATTTGGGGGCTTCCCTGATAGCTCAATTGGTAAAGAATCTGCCTGCAATGCAGGAGATCCCAGTTCATTTCCTGGGTTGGGAAGATCCTCTGGAGAAGGGAAAGGCTACCCACTCCAGTATTCTGGCCTGGAGAATTCCATGGACTGCATAGTCCATAGGGTCACAAAAAGTCCGGCATGAGTGACTTTCACTTTAGGATTTTCTATGTATAGCCTCATGTCATCTGCAAAGGGTGACAGTTTTACTTCTTTCTTTCCAATTTGGATTCCTTCTATTTTTTCCTCGTCTAATTGCTGTGACTAGGACTTCAATACTATGCTGAATAGGAGTGGTGACAGTGAGCATTGTTGTTTTGTTCCTGATCTTAGAGGAAATGCTCTCAGCTTTGAGTGTGATGTTAAAGAGCTGAAGATTCTTTGATGTAAACAACTTTGCCAGTTTGTCCAGGTCTGTCTAATATGCCCATAAGTTAAACATACTCATTCTATAATTTATTATAAAATAGCAAGCAAGGAGTAGATGCAGTAGCTGTAGAAGGAAAGATAATTTAAAATGTCCTCCTGTTCAGGGACTTTCCGATCATCAGAGAGCAGACAATTCCCTTCCTACTCCTCTAAGCTTCATCCTGCAGATGAAGTTTTGTTTTCAGACCCACTCAAGTCAAGGCTTAATCGTCCACTGGGTTTCTCGTCAGTTAGAGGCACAGGTCACATTAGCGCTGGTAATCTCAGAATCTCTATTTTCAGCAAATGCTCCACTGGCAACCTTATCAGGATTAGACCGTTTGTCATATGGTTCATCCTCTGCTTTTCTCTATCGTCCTTCAAGCAGTCCAATAATATTTACTTTACTTAACTGTGTATTTCATACCAATTCTAATTCCAACTTCTTCATTGGCATAATTTTCAGCCATGCTTCTTGTTTCCTCTTCACACAAAATTTCCCTTGTCTAGTTCTAAACTGTTAAGGTTGGTGACCTTAACAGAAGCAGAACAAGGCCCACTGCTGGCCGTGGTGCACGGTAAGTTTTACAACCATAGGTTACTCAGGCTGTTCCTGCTTGGTCCTGGGCTCCGTCCTTCTAGTGATACCTTTGAAGGCATCAATAGGGGGTATTGATCTTGGGGAGGCCACTGCCATGACAATCAAACCCCAAGCCACTACAACTAAAGCAACTCAAACAGATAATTACAACTTTAGGCATTTTGTCAAACAAAAGACTTTGCCTTCAGTATAACGATGGCAATTTTCACAGAAATTCTTATCTCCTCCTGCAATGTTCTCCACTAAATCAAGTGATGAAACTGCCCATCTCAGGGTTTTCATCTCTGTTTTGACTCTGGAGAAATTTCAGAACTCTCTTTGATGTTGGCAAGCCTATCTCCTTGTATTGGTACACAACTGCCTGAAAATCTTTTTTTCCTGCTAAACATTTACATTCGGAGCAGCCAGTCCTTAATACCAGCTGACCGAGGGGTCATTTCTCTAGCTTGAAACCGATTTGCTTTGCATTTCTGTTTATGGGCTTAACCTCGTTGATACTACAGGCATCGCAGTGTTCCCCGGAGACTCGGGTCCTCAGGCGTGAACTGCATTATCACCTCGCCTCCCCCAGTCCTCTTCCAGATCACACTCATTTTCTTTAGGTTGCCCTCTGGACCTTTTGGCTCTGTGTTATTCTCCGCAGAATTACAGTGCAGTGTTCCGAGTCGCAGACTTTAACTGATTTATTTTAACTTGATTTCTTCGGTGAGGGCGCTACACTCGCATTTTCAGAAATGCCCTTGAGGATTATTTGGGCAGGAGCCTGATCTGTTGTTTGGGGTATAGATCTAGTTTGTCTCTGGCTCTCTTTTAAAGCAGAAAAGGAGCACAGGAAATAGGCTAAACCAGTGTCCCAGTGTTAAGTTCGCTGCTTTGTACTGGGGAAAAGTTGTCAGCGTTTTCACACTTGGAGGGGGTAAACTTTAAACAGCCCCTGCACCCAGAGCCGTGGTCGGCAGCCACGTTGGGTGCCGACTAGGACCCGGGAGCTCACTCACTTCCCATTTGTTCTCAGAACATGACCACTACGGTGGTGAGGACCACGCTGAGGAACGACGTGTCCCCAGAGGGCATCATCCACCACATGAAGATTGAGAGCCCCATCCACTGTGCCTTCCAGAATGACCTCCTGACCTCATCCGGCTACACGCCCGAGTGGGGGTGAGTGCAGAGGTCTCTCCCCTACTCCCTGGGGCTCACGCTCCTCCCAGCACCTTCACCTGGGGGTTTCTTTAGGGCTTCAGTCACTTGAGGACCCTTCTGAGAGACTGAACATACAAATGGATACTGGCCAGGACTTGATTAACTGCCAGTTTCCCTAGATTTGTCCCCTTTTCCAGTTTGAACCAACCAGAGAAAGTCAGGTCTGCTCCCCTAGCCAGTCACATAGGATGCCATCAGGGCACCCCTGAGGTCCCCTTTCCCCTATGAAACTCACCCTCCGCCCCCGTCTGCCTTCAGGTCTCCACCAAGCTCTAGTGACCGGGGCTGGCCCCAGCTCCTGCCAGCTTGGGGAAAAAAAAATAACCTTTCTCTGCGTGTTCTCACTGGATGGTCTTTTATTTTCACCCTTCTCTGGAGTTGCATTTTGGGGAGGAATGGGGAATAAGTGGGTCAAAGAAGCAGACCCTTGCAAACACTCCCTCTTGCAGGGTTTACACCATCATTGAGGACCTCCACGGCGCTGGAAGTTTTGTCACTGAAATGCAGTTATTTATTGGAGACTCTCCAATTCCTCAAAATTACAGCGTGTCTGCCAGCGATGACGTTAAGATCGAAGTAGGGCTCTATAAACAGAAAAGCAACCTGAAGGTGGTCCTGACCGAGTGCTGGGCCACGCCATCCAGCAACGCCAGGGACCCGGTCATGTTTGGCTTCATTAACAACAGGTGAGGACTCAGGGGCCCCTGGGCACCTTCCCCCTGCTGTGTAGTCTGATTGTTGTTGTTGTTCAGTTGCTCAGCCATGTCTGACTCTGCAACCCCATGAACTGCAACATGGCAGGCTCCTCTGTCCTTCACCATCTCCCAGAATTTGCTCAAACTCATGTCCGTTGAGTCAGTGATGCCATCCAAACATCTCATCCTCTGTCAGCCCCTTCTCCTTCTGCCCTCAATCTTTCCTAGCATCAATGTGTTTTCCAATGAGTTGGCTCTTCACATCAGGTGGCCAAAGTATTGGAACTTCAGCTTCAGCATCAGTCCTTCCAATGAATATTCAGGGTTGATTTCCTTTAGGGTTGACTGGTTTGATCTCCTTGCAGTCAAAGGGACTCCCAAGAGAATTCCCAGACACAAGTGGATGCAGACCTGGGTTTAGGCAGTGCCCTCAGAATACCCTCCTGTTGGGAACTGGAGACCTAGCCATCCTTGCCTACTTGGAGACTTGTGGGCATGCTCCAGCTGCACTCAGGTGCAATGTAAGGAAATTCATCTGGCAACAAAAACAGGAGGGCCACTTTAGAACTAATGAGTCACCTTCTCTCTTCCCAGCTGCCCCATCCCCAATACACACACGAACGTGATCGAGAACGGCAATTCCAACAAGGCCCGGTTTAAGCTGAAAATCTTTTCCTTCATCAACAACTCCATAGTCTATTTGCACTGCAAACTCCGCATCTGCATGGAATCCCCTGGAGCCACGTGCAAAATAGTAGGTGTTTTGCTATTCTAAACCTCTGGACTCAGGCTCTATGCTATGAGGAGGGAGGCTCCAGGATCAGAAGCCCAGGGTTTGAGCAGCTCTGGGACCTGGCTTCACAGAGGAAGGGCTGGGCCCCACAGAACTGGCTTTTAAAAGGCATGAAATGAGGTCTTGATGGTGGACAGCCTTGCGTGGAGGACCGATGTTCCTGGGTTGTTCACTCGAGCACTTCCTGGGGCCAAACCCTTCCATTGGCCGTCACATCAGACCTTCCTTCTCATAGAGCTGTAGTGCTTCTCTTCAAGGTTATCAAACACATATTTAGGTGTAAAAATGTTTTAATTTGAAATTCTTTTTAGCAAGTCGATGGAACGCTACTGAATCCTTGCCATTGTGCTGTTTAATCTTTTTTTTTTTCTTTCCTGTTCAGCATTTATGCTGGGATTATGAATAACTTTACAGTCTCATTTCCTCAGACCTTTGAAACTGAGGTGTGCTTTGCATTCCTGGGTTGGAGAGTGATGCTTTGTCCACAGACAAGTAGGTGCAGTGACTGTCACATGTCGCCTGTGGCAGAGGATGGCATGGAGGGCTCTGTTGGTCTCTGGGTCAGCTAGTGGCTGTCTCTTTTTCTTTTGGGGGACACGCTTGTTCCTGTGCTCCTCACGGAAGTTGGGTGGTTTTCCAGGGTGATCAGCGGCAGGGCATCGTCTGAATGCACAGGAGAAAAAGCCCAGGGACTCCTGGTTTTGTTGTTACTTTTTCTCAAACAGAACATCTTCTGGAACAGCAGGAGGAAAGGAGCTCAGACTCCCAGTGCTTGGCTGTGGAGGGACCCTGACCTGCATCGGCCCCTTAGAAACACTAAAGGGGTTTTATTATTGATTTATTTGGCTGCGCTGGGTCTCAGTTGTGGCGCACGGGATCTTTAGTCGTGGCGTGTGAACTCTTAGTTGGGGCATGTGGGATCTAGTTTCCTGACCAGGGATCAAACCCGGGCCCCCTGCATTGGGAGCGTGGAATGGCCTTAGTCGTTGAACCACCATGGAGGTTCCAACACTAAGGGTGTTAATGGCCATGACGGCCTCGGTAAGGAGCTGCCAGTTCTCAGATTCTCTATAACATGGGCTGCACGTATTTCTTCCCAACTTCCTTTGGGATGGGTGTTTATTGTCTTCCCAGGGCTGCTGTAGCAAAGTGTGTGTGTGTGTGCATACCTGCGTGTGAAGTTGCTTCAGTTGTGTCCAATTCTTTGTGACTCTATGGACTCTAGCCCACTAGACTCCTTTGTCCATGGGATTTCCCAGGCAAGAATACCGGAGTGGGTTGCCATACCCTCCTCCAAGGGATCCTCCCACCCCAGGGATCAAATCCACATCTTTTGCATCTCTTGCATTGGCAGGAGGGTTCTTTACCATTAACATCACCTGGGAAGCCCTGCTGTAACAAAGTACCATAGGCTTAAATAGCAGAAATCTCTCCTCACACAGCTCTGGAAGCTGGAAGTCCAAGATCGAGGTGTCAGCCAGGTTATTCCTCCTGAGGCTGTGGGGAGAATCTGTTGAGGTCTGGCTCTCTGGCTGGTCAGTGCCACCTTCTCCCTATGTCTTCACACATCTTCCCTCTGTGCGTGCCTGTGTCTGTGTGCAAATGCCCCCTGTTTACAAGGACACACTCACACTGGGTTAGGGTCCACCCTAGCGGCCTCATCTTACCTGGATCCTCTGCAAAGTCTTTATTTCCACATAGGGTCACATCCACAGGTACTGGGGTTAGGACTGTAACATCTTTGGGGGGGGGCAGTGCACTCCGTCACAGGTATATAGTAAGTAGATTCTATGTCACTAGTAGATTCTATGTCACTGAAACTTTTTGTAAGGCAAAGGCTTGAAAAGGAGCAAGTGTCTACAGCAGGCTGGGAAGAACACAAAGGTGACTTTGAGATGAGGCCAGAGCTAGTAACTGGAGACAGCTCAGGGGGCTACATCCCACTTCCTCCAACCCGCCTGCTGCCTCGTCCTCCCCTCATCCCGCTGGGCATCCGTCCTGGCACAGCCCTTTGGTCCAAGTGATCTGGCCTCCCCAACATCCTTCCCCTCTGACTGAACTCATCCATCATGACTTGACGTTTCTAGCAGGAAAGAGCATGTGCGAATCAGCGTACTATCCCTGAGAGTGGGTACCTTTCTCATAACCATTGTTCAACTAATGTGAACACCTTTTTCCTATGAAAACAACAGAACTGTGATGACTTTCGGTCACTGAGAAGCAGCGAGCCATCCGTGATGCACCAGATGTCCTGGGGACCCCTGATTCGGTCTGAAGGTGAGCAGGTGACTCGGGTTAGACAACTAAACCTGGGTATTGATTCAGAAGCTGCTAGCTGTCCCCAAATATCTGTTCTTCCCTCCTTCAATGGTAATAGAACCCTTAGTTTTTAGGGGACAGGTGGCTGCCAGGAAAAACTATAGTTCCCAGCCAACCTCACAGCAAGAGTGGCTGCATGAGTGAACTCTGGTTAATAAGATGCAAAAGGGAGTGTCAAGTGCCCTCCTTATAAACACCTGGTACACACCCAGCTGCCTCACATGCAGGGGAGGCGGCTGCAGCCAGCCACCATCTGGGGCCATGAGGATCATCCAGACAGGAGCTGAAATGAGCTGGTGCCCCAGGACACCCTGGGGTGAAGCTGCGGGGCCAGGCTTGAGCTCTGACCTCCTGTTTTTATGCCAGAAAGAAAGAAACTTCCATTTTCTTTGTATCGCTATTTTGGGGTTTTCTCTTTCTTGCAGTTAAACCAAATCCTAGTTGATTTTCCCTTTTTATTTTGTTTCTTCCTAATTTGGATGGGCTTCTTTGTCTCTCTATTATCTTGTTCAAGAACTTCTGGGTTCTGGAGGCAGGGTGTAAACCAAGACAGGAGTCCTGACCCAAGCTTTCTGAAGGTGAGCAGGTGACTCGGGTTAGACAACTAAACCTGGGTATTGATTCAGAAGCTGCTAGCTGTCCCCAAATATCTGTTCTTCCCTCCTTCAATGGTAATAGAACCCTTAGTTTTTAGGGGACAGGTGGCTGCCAGGAAAAACTATAGTTCCCAGCCAACCTCACAGCAAGAGTGGCTGCATGAGTGAACTCTGGTTAATAAGATGCAAAAGGGAGTGTCAAGTGCCCTCCTTATAAACACCTGGTACACACCCAGCTGCCTCACATGCAGGGGAGGCGGCTGCAGCCAGCCACCATCTGGGGCCATGAGGATCATCCAGACAGGAGCTGAAATGAGCTGGTGCCCCAGGACACCCTGGGGTGAAGCTGCGGGGCCAGGCTTGAGCTCTGACCTCCTATTTTTATGCCAGAAAGAAAGAAACTTCCATTTTCTTTGTATCGCTATTTTGGGGTTTTCTCTTTCTTGCAGTTAAACCAAATCCTAGTTGATTTTCCCTTTTTATTTTGTTTCTTCCTAATTTGGATGGGCTTCTTTGTCTCTCTATTATCTTGTTCAAGAACTTCTGGGTTCTGGAGGCAGGGTGTAAACCAAGACAGGAGTCCTGACCCAAGCTTGAGAAGGAAGGTTTTTGGCCAATGATACTCAGCTGCTGGTTCTCATCCAGAATATTTCAGAGATTTAAAAGATCACAGATCCCCAGCCAGGCCCCACGCCTGTCCACTCAGGGTCTCCTGAGCTGGACTCCAAGCCCTGGTGTTTGCATTGGTCCTTGGGCGATCACTGGCCTGGGTCCTGGGACAATGCTTTTCCTGCCATCTTCATTGTCTTCAACTGCCGAGAGCTGGTTGATCTGGGGCTCTAATATGAAAGAACATATATGTGAATTACATTCACTAAGAATCATAAACTGAGTGGTTAAAGTAACAGAAAATACTCCTGAAATCTGGAGACACAAATCCAAGATCACATAATGGGTGGGGCTGGCTCCTTCCAAAGTCTCTGAGGGCCTCTGTTCCAGGCCTGGCTCCCAGCCTCTCTGCAGGTCCTGCAGGTCCTGCTGGGTGACCTGGCTGTGGCCACCTCCCTCCAGCCTCTGCCTCTGTTATCACGTGGCTTCTCCTGAACGCCTCTGTCCTGTTAAGGGGACACTGATCATTGAATAAGGGGCCTCTCCCACTTCAGTATAACTTCTTAACTAATGACGTCTGCAAAGAACCTATTTCCAAATAAGGTCACATTCTGAGGCACTGGGGGTTCGTACCCAACACACATTTTTTTGAGGATTGTGCTTCAACATGTAACACTGTTTGCTGGCCTTTTAAAGGAAGAATCCACCCGGGCAATCCCTGAATCTGTGCTGCCAACAGATCATCTGTCAGTATCATACTTCTTGCACTTAATTTTTGGAAATCGTCCACGGTCATTTGCTTTTCCAGAGAACATAAGTTCTCAGTCACTAGAGTTTGTGTGTGTGTGTGTGTGTGTGTGTGTGTGTGTGTGTGTGTAAGAAGAAGTTGAGAAAGTTTGAGGTTAATATCCTGTAGGCTCCCGAAATGAACCAGAGGGAAGGGTCTGGAACAATTGTGGAGGAGGCTCAGAAGTGAGAAGCCTGGGGGTCCCCGGATGGTGGCTGAGCTCAGCCTCTGGAAGGGGCCTGGGTTCTAGGCCCCCAGCTCCTGGGTTTTTGCACACCTCCATCACTACCCCTCACTGAGATGTGTCCCCTTCACAGGGGCAGTGACAGGTCAGTGCCTTTGCAGAAGGAGTGGTCATGTACCTCACACCAAGATGTCATCACTGCCCTGTGTGTGGCTGCTCACACTTCTGGGGGAGGACCCATGTCTTTTAATTGTCTCATCCATCAGGGCTGACATGTGGATGCTATGTTTAAGGAGACATTCCCACTGATGGTGTGGGTCTTGTTGCAACGCAGGCTCCCTCTCTATTTGGAAGCATCTCTCCTGAACCAGTCACCATTCCTGGACCCTGATAACCAGTGGACAGTACTGGCCTGTGGACTCCACTCAGAGGTTCTCTGAGTCTGTGGCTGGTTAAGAGCACTTGACTGTAGGGAACAGAAACCCAGCTGGAGAGGCAGCAACCAAACCAGGTTCACTTGTCTCTGGAGCTGGCAGTCTGGGCCTGCGGCCCGACTCCATGGGGCCAACCATGGCGGGCCTCTTCTGCTTTTCTGCTGTGGCATCCTCAAGGGAGATAGTGCCCCCTTACGGTCACAAGTTGGCCCCTGACATGAGATGCAGGAGGAGGGGGTATTCATGGTACCATCCACTGGAGGCTGGATTTAAGGGCCAGCTGTGAATGAATTGTTAGGAAGCTGGTGACCCAGAGTCTAGGGGCCTCAGGTTCCTTAGAAGGTTGCAGGTGCTCCAGCAGTCATTCCCAGTATCCTCATCCCAGTGTGGCCTGCCCTCTGGAGGACAGGGTTGCCTGGTTTCCAGCTGACCCATCATAAAGGCAGTCTGAAGGGTGCCTCTTCTAAGCCATCGTTGACCACTTTGTTGTAAATGCCCGAGCTGTGACTGGGGGGCCCAGAGCAGCAGGTACTTCAGGCCATAGCCCCAGAAATGGGAAACGGGATCTCAAGTGTTCCTTGTTGCCCAGGAAGGCTTTCCTACCCAGACCTTTCTGATAAACTCCTGTGATAAGATTGAGATAAAATTTACCTAATATAAAGTTAACTTTTAAAATAAACTATTGGGTAGAATTTAGCACATTCACAGTGTGGTAGGACCATTACCTTTCTCTAGTTTCAAAACATATTCATCCCCCAAAGCAGTTCCAAGCTCACAGAGAGTGAACCCCCAGCCCCAACCCCACCCCTGAAACCATGAGGTCGGCTTCCTGACTCGTTTCCCTAGAAACAGGATCACATGACTACTTGTGGTCCTTGGCAACGGTACCTGTCACTCAGCTCAGTGGATGTTTTCAAGGCTCATCTGCGTCCCACGTAACGTGTGGCAGAACCTCCTCCCTTTTATGGCTGAATGCCATTCCTCTGGGTGATGGACCACATTTGTTTGTTCATTCACCCTTTGATGGATTCGGGTCTGTTTCTCCTTTCTGCTGCTGTGAACCTGCATATATGAGTATTTATTTGCATCCCTGTTTTCAGCAGTTTGGGGTCCAGACTCCCATGTGCTTTCTTGCCCCCGAGTCTGGGGAAGGCCGGCTCCCTGGTGCTGAGTTGCATGTGGGTACAGGCAACGTGTCCCTGTGCCGAGTCTGCTGAGCTCTCTGTCCCCATCTGCACTGCCTGTGGCTCCCACGTGGCCTCCTCTTCTTGGCCAGTGACCATCCAGAGGGTGAGGAGGAGGAGCTCTCCCCTCTGCTGTGCTCTCCTGGGCTTGAGGCACCTGCCCTGGCACCTCTGGGAGCCCCTGGGTTCACGGCCACATGGAGCGGCTGCCACGGGACAGTCTGCTCCATCACGGGCTCTGACTTGAGTCCTCCATCTCGGGGTGATGCTGGGGCCAGCCGGGACCTGGCCCCGCTGCGTGGGTGGAACTCCCACCCGCACCATCTCACTCCTGAAGGTGTTACCCAGCCCAAGCTCGCTCCATTCACTCCACGATAGGCCAATAAATCTGAGAGACAGGGTTAAGATAAGCGACTTTATTCAGGCAGCCCGCTGACTGAGAAGATGGCAGGCTTGTGCCTCAAAATAACCATCTTGTCAGGGTCTGGGTGCCAGGTTCCTTTATAGAGTCAGAGAGAAAGAAGCAAGGAGGAACTAAAGTCAGAAGGCAGAACAGAGAGGGAGAGGCAGTGGAGAAGAAAAGTGAAAGGGTCTTCAGTCTTGTAAAACATCTCCAAGGGAATGGCCAAACTTTGGAAGGGGTATGCTAATCACTTCTATTCACAGGTGGGTCAGTTCAGTCGCTCAGATTTGTCCTACTCTTTGCTACCCCATGGACTGCAGCACGCCAGGCTTACCTGTCCATCACCAACTCCTGGAGCTTCCTCAAACTCATGTCCATTGAGTCAGTGATGTGTTCCAACCATCTCATCCTCTGTCGTCCCCTTCTTCTCCTGCCTTCAATCTTTCCCAGCATCAGGGTCTTTTCCAATGAGTCAGGTATTCAGATCAGGTGGCTAAAGCATTGGAGTTTCAGCTTCAACATCAGTCCTTCCAATGAACATCCAGGACTGATCTCCTTTAGGATGGACTGGTTGGATCTCCTTGTAGTCCAAGGGACTCCTAAGAGTCTTCTCCAACACCACAGTTCAAAAGCATCAATTCTTCAGTGCTCAGTTTTCTTTATAGTCCAACTCTCACATCCATACATGACCACTGGAAAAACCATAGCCTTGACTAGATGGACCTTTGTGGATGCCTTTGCTTTTTAATATGCTCTCTAGGTTGGTCATAGCTTTTCTTCCAAGAATCAAGCATCTTTTAATTTCATGGCTGCAGTCACCATCTGCTGTGATTTTGGAGACCCCCCCCCAAAATAAAGTCTCTGTTTCCACTGATTTCCCATCTATTTGCTATGATGTAATGGGACCAGATACCATGATCTTTGTTTTCTGAATGGTGAGTTTTAAGCCAACTTTTTCACTCTCCTCTTTCACTTTTATCAAGAGGCTCTTTGTTCTTCTTCACTTTCTGCCTTAAGGGTGATGTCATCTGCGTATCTGAGGTTATTGATATTTCTCCCGGCATTCTTGACTCCAGCTTGTGCTTCATCCAGCCTGGCATTTCACATGATGTACTCTGCATGTGGGTAGGGTCCAATTATCTATGAGCTGAGCAAAGGCACTCTAGCTTACAGACAGGCAGAGGGACAGAGTCCCCTGAGGCTGACCGTTGTGTATGATTGTAATAACAATCAAAAGCAATGAAAAGCAAGTTAAAGAAACAGTTCCAACATGGAGTCAGAACTGCCTTCTTTTGTGTAACACAGGGTCACCTCCGGCGGCAGGGCCAGGCCTGGGAGCCGGCTACCTGGTCCTCATTGTGGGGGCTGCCTGCGCCTCGGTGGCTGGGGCAGCTGCCCTCCTCGTCCGGCATTACCAGAGAATGACTGGAAAATACGACTTCAAAGCCGGGTCGGACAACTTCAGCTACCAGACGTTCCACGAGTAAGGAGCCTGGCTGCCCCGCAGGTGGGTGACAAGCAAGACCCTCTGACATGCGAGTCCTGCCTTTGCCACTGATGGTGACCACACAGCGTGTCCGGGGGTTTTGGCTGCGGGTAGATTTGTGGGTGTTGGTGTCTCATGCCTGCAATACTGTGTGATTTTTAATAAGAAATATATATTTGGTCTTCGTCCACTGTTCCTGGTACACGTGTGTGTGCTCACTTGCTAAGTCATGTCCGACTGTTTTGTGACCCCATGGACTATAGCCCACCAGGCTCCTCTGTCCGTGGGATTCTCTGGGCAAGAATACTGGAGTGGGCTGCCATGCCCTCCTCCAGGGGATCTTCCTGACCCAGGGATCAAACCCACATCTCTTATGTCTTCTGCATTGGCAAGCAGGTTCTTTACCACTAGTGCCACCTGGGAAGCCCAACTTCAGCTCAACTTTCCTCTAACATTAAAGACAACAGCCGCCTTGGCCGGGTGCCTTCTCATCTGATTTGGGACCCTCAAGGCGTGGTCATGAAGACCCTTCCATTTACTGACCCTGCTCCATACTGTCCTCATTGGGGGTACAGTCACATGGACATGCTCTGCTAGCCCATGTCCCCTTCTTCCATCCCCACGTTTAGCCTGTCATTCTTTCGAGATAACAGACCTTCAGCACAATTCAGTCCTACGGTGTGGTAGACCCGGGATTCGTTCCTTCAATGAAGACAGTGGGCTCAGAGAGCTCAGGTCAATCACCTGGATCACACAGCAAGCCTGGGTTACTTCTCCATGAGGCAGCATCTCTTTCTGGTCAACTTCGTTGTGGCCAGAGAAATTGTCCCCTGGAGACACTGGGAGTGTGATGTCCTCACCTGATCTCACCTGGTCTCAGCCCCCATCAAGCTGAGAGCCCTTGTGAGTCCAGGCCTTGGAGCCCTAACATCCCCATGGGAAGGACTGGGCCCGGGGCCCATGACCACCCTGCATAGAATTACAAGGACATTCCAGTTTCTTGCTTCAGATATAAAATAAGAATGACAACAAGGAGGCCAATACTTTTCCTGGAGCATTTCCAAAGAAATCTGGTGAGTTGACCACAGAGGCTGGCCCCTCCTCAAAATTAAGACACGGAGGGAAAATTGGCCCCTGGTCTTTTCTTACGCTCCTGGGACTTCTGTCTTCCAAAGTATATAAGGAAGAAGTCGATAACTAGTTCTCAAGTTCTTGCAAAAATCTATTCTTTGGAAAACATCAAACAAACATCCCCAAGGTTGACACCTGGCAGAGCCCCAGTGGGCGATGAGCCGTGCCCGGGTGGGTGGTCCACAAATAGTGCAGACGCACGAAGTCCCCAGGGTGTGGCCGTCTGGCTCAGGTGTGTGCACCCATCACACCTGCTTGCTTCCCTGAGGGAGTGGCCCTCACCCAGACCAGGTTCCCATACTCCCTGGGAGTCCCTGCCCTTTTATTGGCCCCAGCCTGGCATTGTTCAGCGAGCACAGATGTCGTGTCCTTAGGATTGGCAATAACTCTCTACTCACCCTCCCAGGGTTTCCAGCAGAAACCTTGCTTTTCCTGGGACAGACTGACCCAGATGATCTTCCCTTGCAGGTAGCTGTGCTCAAGTTCCAGTTTTCACTCGAGCCTTGATGGGAGCTTGTTTTGTTCTACATCCAGGCTTCGATGAGCCCCAGAGGTGGAGAACGCACAGACTATGCCTACCCCCAGAAGGCCCGTCCTCCATGTGGGTCCCAGACAAGCAGCAGTGCCAGGAGGGTGGAGAAGCATGCAGGAGCCTGGACGCCAGGAGCCCCAGACACACGGATTTTCAAACCAAGCTCCAATAAACAGCTCTGCCATCACCCAATCACCGCCACCACCCAGAGCACCCAGCCCTGTTACCACCCCAAGTGGTCCAAGCCCCTGTCTTGGCTTTGCTCACTATTGACACCTATCACCTACCACCCAACCACCCATCCATCCTTGTGCCCCTCTGTTAAATACATAATATTTCACTTTCTCAAAAATGTTTGACATCACACTTGAAATCCTATTTTTAAAAATAGGTCAGTCATAAAAAAATACTACTAATGTGATTTTTAGTAGACACATATACCTTTTGAATTTAGTCCTACATTATTACCAAGATATTGTTTCTATTTACACAGCAGTGACTCAGAAGGCATTCTATTAATATGAAAAATTTTATAGCAAGTAGGAAAATATTATATATATATATATAATAAATAAAATAAAATAGGGAGATATATATATAGATATATAATAGAGATATATATAGATATATATACTTTTCCCAAGCATTTTCACAGATACTAAAATAAATAATTTACCTGGGGGTGAGGCACTATTTGCCCATTGCATAATGGGTAACCATAAAATGAATGGGTGAGTTATTTACATAAGTTTACAAAATGAGCTCATGAGGAAATAGGTCTAGAAACTAAGTTTTAGTTTAGAATTTTCTTCATTGCACCATGCTAAGAGATAATGCTTCTTACTTTACTTGAAGTACATGGAGTTGCATTTGATACCTAACACCTCAGAGTATAGTGTTTTCCCTTGATGAACTTAGAATTAGAACATGGTCTTAGTTTTTAATTCATGGGGTTAATTTTATTGAATGTTTTTAATTCATAGGATTAATTGTATTGGATGTAATTAACACGGGACATTAGGGAAATGGGAGTATTTTGATTTATTGAAAATCTCAGAGTCAGGATAGAATTGCAATATGTGATACCATGGATAGCGATTCTGAGCGAATGGAATAAATTGCTACGACACTGAAAGAGGCCCGTGCTGGCTGCTCTGTCTGGTTTCATCCACCTCACAAGCTCACTCAGCGTCCGCAAGGGCTGGCGCGGTGCTGTGTCTCATGGAGACCAGGAGCCCGTCTCTGGCTCTTCCTGAGCTGTGTCCACTTGTTCTGACATCAGCTCAGGACCTCTCACTGACTTTTCTTGAGGAAGAGACAGTCAGTGTTTGGTAAACCCAGGCTTGAGACCTGTGACTGTGTGGATCTTAGGTAAAGTGGTTGATGTGGACTTTAGAACTCCATCTTTAAAACTTCATCCACAGTGTTCATGTAATCTCAGTAACCACTGTGTCCATTCACTAGTGTTTTCTGTAATAATGGAACTTTGGTCACCCCCTTTATCCTTCCACTGACCTAGTCCCTTCTTCGACAATTATTTCCTGAGCATGCACCAGGCCCTGAGCTCAGAGCTGGAGATCATGAGACGCAGGCTTGGTTCTGCCCTCAAAGGGCACATGGTCCTGTGGGGGAGAGACACTCAAATCAACAGACGTCGGGGGCCATGACAAGGTCTGAGAGGGGCAAGAATGTGTGTGCTGTGAGGTACCCCTGACCTGGTCCACCCATCCACTCATCCACCCATCCACCGTTCTCCTCTGCCCATCCACCCAACCACTCATGACCCATCCCTCACTCACTCCCTCCATCCTTCCTTCCATCCATCCTTCCTCCATTCATCCATCCATCCAACCAGCAAATATCGTTGAGTTCCCCGTTCTTATGCTGACATTGTGTGCGTGCATGCTGTCGCTTTAGTCGTGTCTGACTCTTTGCGACCCCATGGACAGTAACCTGCTAAACTCCTCTATCCATGGGATTCTCCAGGCAAGAATACTGGAGTGGGTTGCCATGCTCTCCTCCAGGGGATCTTCCCAACCCAGGGATAGAACCTGTGTCTCTTATGCCTCCTACTTTTACCATAGCGCTACCTGGGAAGCTGTATACTGACATTTGGAAAACAGAAAGAGTGAGGTAGAATCCATGTCCCCAGAAACTCAACATCCAGCTAAAGAAAAGCCCCTATGAATCCTACTTGCAGTTAAATCAGGGAAGCCAAGGAGAGAGGGAGGGAGCCAGAATTATGCATGCGTGTGCCCATGTGCTCACATTACTTCTCCAAGAGAGTCTGGGGTGCTGCTGGGAGAAGGTAGGCTCAGTCTGTATGTTGCTTGTCGTTTAATCCCTCTGATTTAAGACTCGGCTGGCATGGCTCAGGAATTGAATTCATAGTATTCTGAAACAGAAGGAGGAAGGGCAGGATCCAGGGTGGCTCTGGACATCTGTAGAGGTCATTCACTGCTCTCCAATGCAGAGGTCACCCCCAGGATTGTGAAAGGCACACTTTGTGAGGCCAGACTTGGGAACCTCGGAGACCCTCCAGAAGACCCCTCCCGGGACAGAGTGGGCTGTCCTGCCTATCCAGGGCGGGGATTGTATGAGTGTGGTGCACACACCTATGAAAGTGAAAGTTGTTGCGTCGCGTCCAACTCTTTGCGACCCCGTGGACTATACAGTCCGTGGAATTCTCCAGGCCAGAATACTGGAGTGGGTAGCCTTTCCCTTTTCCAGGGGATCTCCCCAACCCAGGGATCGAACCCAGGTCTCTTGCATTGCAGGCGGATTCTTTACCAGCTGAGCCACAAGAGAAGCCTGTGCCCACACATTGTAGATATTAATTATACACCTTCTCACTTTAAAATGGAGAAAATGGGGGGAATGGAGTCGTTATGAAACTTTCCCAAACAGCTAGCAAGTGGAGAGCCTGGAATTGAAACCAGGCCTGTCTGCTTGTAAAGTCCTATGATCCTGTCTGCTGGGAAGGGTCTGATGAAAACCAGGGATCTGATGGAGGCGGAGACTCACCGCATCCGCACGGTACCCTCCGGCCCAAGCCGCGCTACCCCTAAACCACCACGAGATGGCGCCGCAGACCAGGGAGGGAGACCCGTTTTTCTGCCGCCACCAGTGAGTGCCCTGCTTCTCTGGTTTGAATTCTTTCGCCCTTTGAGCTTCTCGGCTGGGAAGGAAGGAAATCTGAAATCATTCCACAGAGCTTCGGGTCTCAGGGACAAGTGTCTGCTAGGGTGGGGCTCAGACAACCGTACTGGCAGTGAGGAAAAAATTAATCAATAGTCAGTCTAAGAATGAAGTGAAAATTTTTATTCTAGCCAACCTGAGGATTATCGCCCAGGAGACGTCTTGCAGTGGCCCCGGGGAATGTTCCAAGGAGGTCGGGGAAGGAGGGTGTACGTGTGGTTTGGGGGAGGGGGTGTGCAGTCAAGCACACACCTTAGTGGAAGGCTGCTGCAGTCACCAGGAACAGCATCTCGGTTAACGGTTTGGGTGCCCTCCTGAGTGTGGAAAGACGCAAGAATCCAGGATCATACAAAATTTCTCAGTTCTAATGAGATGGATGAAACTGGAGCCCATTATACAGAGTGAAGTAAGCCAGAAAGATAAAGACCAATACAGTATACTAATGCATATATTAAGAAATGGAAAAAAGAAACAACAAAATTTCTTCTGAAAACCTCTGACTATCTGAGGGCTGGTCTTCCCAGAGCACAGAGGGCCTCATCCTGATCTTCACCTTGTAGGTCAGCGACTGCAGAGCTTGCTGACTTTTATAGCCCCCTCCCCTTTGATCTTAATTTCAACCCACGTTTGGAGGCATTTCGTGATCAGTTTGTTCCAAGGCCCTGAGAGCGCTCATTCCAGGGTCAGGTGCAGACTTGACAGGCTGCTCCACGCACTGTTCTTGGACAAGGCCCTGATGACAGCGGCCCACAGCCTCTGGGCCGCCTGTCCTCCTGGTCCGTTCTGGCCCAGGAAATGGGTGCCTCTTGTTGCTTCTTTCTACAACTAATTACACGATTGCAATCATTTTTCTTATAGGACTACATATTTGGTCAATCATCTCAGGTCACCTAGTTGTTATTGGGACTTCCCTGATGGCTCAATGGTGAAGAATCCACCTGCGTTGTAGGAGATGTGGGTTCGATCCCTGGGTTGGGAAGATCCCCTGGAGTAGGCACTGGCAACCCACTCCAGTATTCTTGCCTGGACAGTCCCATGGACAGAGGAGCCTGGTGGGTTACAGTTCGTGTGACTGTCAAGTTGGACAAGACTGAGCAACTGAGCATGCCGTCGTTATGAATTTTACCTGAGGCTCAGGCACACGTTTGGTAATGCAAGAAACAATAATCTTGTAAAATAGGCGGATTACAAAGTAACACAGCAAGTAACGTTAGTTAAGTTCATAAGTAGGTATTTAGGGATTCCCAGTTGGCTCAGTGGTAGAGAATCCACTTGCCAGTGCAGGAGACATGGATTTGATCCCTGGGTTGGGAAGATCCCCTGGAGGAGGAGATGGCAACCCATTCCAGTATTCTTGCCCAGAAAGTCCCACGGACAGAGGAGCCTGGTGGGCTACAGTCCATGGGGTTGTGAAGAGTTGGACATGACTGCGCACATACACACACAAAGTATTTCAGCTAAGAACTTCCGTGAAGTACAGCCCAGTACTCGCTAGGTCATCTGAGCAGTCTGTTCCAATGGCTCCCTTTAAAGGAAATGATATATTGGCATTTTACATCAAGTTCACTGAAGACGTCTGCACGTACATGGTGAGTGGAGGGTCATTGTGACCCCTTACAGGACTGAGAAAGGGAAGCTGTCTTCTAAGGAGTTATGGGGTTGGTGTCAGGAGAAGAAAAATTGATGTTTCTGGTTGAGCAGGAATTTCTGCTCTGGGGAGATCTGGTTAAAACACAATGTACCCTGGAGGGAAGGGAGGGGGGAGAAAGCAGGCCCAACAACAGGCCTGGGGGAAACCTATTTGCAATAGGTTTCCCATATTTTTCTACATTTGCTTCTCTTTGTCCCCCTTCTCTATGCGGATGGTGTTTAAAAAAATTAATACGCATTTAATTTTCTTAAAAGTGGGGCCCAACAGACCCCACAACAGCAGAGGAAAAGGTTTATATTCAAAAGTTCCATGTTTTGCCTTAAGATATGAGGTTTTACTTCATTCCTGGTCTTTCAGGGTGGACAGACCTAGTGCCTTCATGGCAGGGGAGGCGCCGGCCTGGGCGGCTGGGGGGCCAGCTCTGCGTGGACTCTGCCTTCCTGCCTGGACTTCCCGAGGGAGGGGCGCCTTCCTTCTCACC